AGCAAGCCAGGCAGCATCTGGAGGAAAGGTGAAGTCAACATTTCGGGTATTACCCTTCTTCAGTCCTGAAACATTGACTTCTCCTTTCCTCCAGATGATTCCTGGCTTGCTGAGATCTCTGTATTCCCTGATTACAGGTTAGTGATCTTTGCCTGGAATGTCTGTGTTTGGTTCTTTGGTATTTGTCAGTTTCAAGTTCTGTGGAATTGCTCCCAGCCAAATATTCTGCTAACGCTAACTTTCTCAGTTAATACATTAGAAGAGCCATTGGGGTGATGTACTGATGGAATACTGGCACCAGGTAATGCTGCATATAAGGCCTCACCTATCTCAATGGCCTGGATCTTATTATGATGAGCAGCAAAGCTGTGGTTTGTTCTGCTGACTCTATTTTAAAAATACATTACCTTTGTCATAGGCCAGAGGGAAAAGTACAGTATTATTCGGATGTGAATATACCAGTCATCTAGTTTGAAATATACAAGCTGTGTCAGAGTGGTATGACCCAATCAGCAATTTTACTGGGTTGCTGCAACAGGAACTTGCCGTTGGATCCACACAACTGCTGAGTGAGGGAGGCAGTTTGGAAGTACCCATAGAGAGTTGCCAATGAGGAAAAGCCACATCTCCTTTGATGTGACGATATGAAAAGTTCCACGGGAGTAATCAGCCATTTCTTTGTCTGCTCAACTGTTCTCTCTCTCGGCTCCACCTGCACCCATCATTTGCCACCACACCCCCACCCTCCAACTTCCAACTTCAGCATATATACTGACCCTTTTCCTAGCTACAGTGAGTTCTGAAGAAGGGTCACTGGACCGGAAACATTAAGTCTCCTTTCTCTCCAGATTTTACTGCTCTGGTGAGGGAAGATTATGGTTTACTGTATGGCTTAAGAAACTTAGCAGAAACCACGCCCTCTGCTAAGGAATCATGAAAGTAAGTAGAAAGAACTTCTAAAGCATCAGATACTTTTTTTAAAAAATTTGCTTCGGATGAAGGCACGGCTGACTGTGGAACTTGCAATGTAATGAAAAATGCTGGAAGCACCAGGCTGCAATGGGAAAAACCAAGTACTGGTTGAATTCACTTCCTCTATTAATGACCAGCCATCTAGATAAACAAATCACACATAACAGAAGTAGGAAAAACAATGAGGTAAGATTGATGCTACTCTTAAAAAGGATACCATCTAACCTCACCTCTTCCACATATGCAAAATATACATATACCAGCCTCAATGATAAATTTTTATTTCCACTTTCAAACATTAAGAAATGTTTACACAGTTAACATTTTGATATCTCACCTGTAGAGGTTAAACTTCCCTTTGCAATGAGCAGAGATCATTACCCCTACCATTTCAATAAGCAATTCAGCACCAACTCCTCCTATCTCAACCTCAATACAATGAACAGAAAATGTGAGCATTCCCAAGAACCAAAGTTGAAAGATTGGATCCCAAGAATGTGCCGGCAAAGAATCCTGGCAATAACCATCTCAGCTTCCCCAACGATCATGGCAAGAAACTCCTAGCTCTTACAAAGGAAACTTGAAAGCCTCCAGACTCTGGTTTATAGGGAAGTGGTGGTATAGCAGTAATATCACTAGACGCCTGACACACTCCAAGCTAATTTTCTGGGGACATGGGCTCAAATCCCACCATGGCAGATGGTGCAATTTGAATTCAATAAAAATCTGGAATTAAAATTTATCCCCAATGTATAACCACTGACAATTGTCATTAAAAACCCATTTGGTCACTAATGTCCTTCAGAGAAGGAAATCTACACTCCTTACTTGTTCTGGCCTACATGTGACTCCAGATCCACAGCACTGTGGTTGACTCTTAACTGCCCCATACGCAATTAGGAGGGCCAATAAATGCTGTTCTAATCACTAAAGGCTACAGCCCACGAGTGAAAGAAAAAACATTCCTCCTACACACAGCAGATATTGATAGTGACCTCTTTCAACTTCTTTTGAGCTCAAAAAATCAATTTTCCAGTCACTCAGATACAACCCACTGTTACACATGCCCGAACTGAAACCTTCCCTTCTGTAACAACACTGCCCTGAATGGAAAAAATAATGACCACTTCACCAAAGTTCAGATTGGTATCAGGTGCAGACCCTGCCATCCTCTGTTTTCTTCAAGGTTTCAGCTGTGTCAAATGGTAGCACTCTTCATTCAGAAGATATAAGTTTAAATCCTAGTTCAGGATTTGAGGAAACATTTTCAATTGACTCAACTCTGTTATTAAAAAAGTGCTTCCTAATGTCAACACTGGTTAGCCTAGACCTAGCTATAATTTTATGACCCCCCTCGTTCTGGACTGATCTACCAAAGGAAAGAATTTCTCTCTGTTGCCCTTATCATCTTTGGCACTTCAATTAGAACACCCAATAATCCTCTGTACTTTACTGAATCCAAACTTAGTCTATGCACCATCCTCATACTTTAACCTCTTTATATTAGGTATCATTGTGAATGGTGATGGACAATTAAAACTCACTGGAGGAGGTGGCATCACAAATATGCCCATCCTTAATGATGTAAGAGCTCAACATATCCATCCAAAAGAAAAGGCTGAAAGAAATCTTCAGCCAGAAGTACCAAGAGGATGATCCATCTCAAGTCTATTCCAGTGGTCCCCAGCATCAGATATCAGTCTTCAGCCAATTCAATTCAGTCCACGTGATATCAAGAAATGGTTGTTTGCACTGATACTGCAAAGATTATGGGACCTGACAACAATCCAGCAATTGTACTGAAAGCTTGTGCTCCATTACTTGCCACTCCCCTAGCAAAGCTCTTCCAGTATAGTTACAACACTGGCACTACCTGACAAAGTGGAAAATTTCACAGGTTTGTCCTGTACACAAAAAGCAGGATAAATCCAACCTGTCCAGTTACCACCCCATCAATTTGCTCTCCATCATCAGCAAAGTGATGAAAGGTATCAAGCAGTACCTGCTCAGAATAACCTGCTCAGTGATGCCCAATTTGTGTTCTGCCAGGACCACTCAGCTCTTGACCTCATTACAGCCTTGGTTTAAACATGGATAAAAGAGCAGAATTCCAAAGGTGAGGTGAGAATGACAGCCCTTGACATCAAGGCCACATTTGACCAAGTGTGGCATCAAGGAGCCCTAGCCAAAGTAGAATCAGTGGATATCTGGGGGCAAACTCTCCACTGTTTGGAGTCATAGAGTGATACAGCATGTAAACAGACCCTTTGGACCAATTCATCCACGCTGACCAAATATCCTAACTGATCTAGTCCCAGTTGACAGCATTTGGTCCATACCCCTCTAAACCCTTCCTATTTATGTGCACATCCAGATACCTTTTGTAGTGATTGCAACAAGGTCAGCCAGATGGACTTCATAGAATATGAGTTCCCTGATTAGGGCTGTTAATCTGGTCCAATCAGAGAGTCTTGGCTGACAGATAAGAGCAGGAGAGTCAGACATCCTGTTCACTTTGACAGCTGGCTCTGAGCGAGCTGGAATAGTGTCAATGACTCTCCATTCGTAAATAAAGAGTGACTTGATGACAGGATACCAGCCTCTGTGGAGTTATTTCACCTTTTATATGTTGTAATTGTACCAGCCTCCACCACCTCCTCTGGCAGTTCATTCTATACACGTACTACCCTCTGCTTGAAAAAGATGCCCCTCAGCTGCTTTTTAAATTTTCCTCTCTCACTTTAAACCTCTGCCCTCTAGTTTTGGACTCCCCTACACTGGGAAAAAGACCTTTGCTATTCACCCTATCCATCCACTTCATGACTTTATAAACTTCTATAAGGTCACCCCTCAGCCTCCGACTCTACAGGGAAAAAAGCCCCAGAGTCATACCTGGCACATAGGAAAATGGTTGCATTGATGGAGGTCAGTCATCTCGGCTCCAGGACGTCTCTGCAGGTGTTCCTCAGGGTAATGTCTTAGGCCCAACCATCTTTATCAATGACCTCCTTCCATCATGGTGTCAGAAGTGGGGACATTTGCCAATGTTTGCACAATGTTCAGCAACATTCATGACTCCTCAGATACTGAAGCAACCCATGTTCAAACGCAACAAATTCGCATAATAGCCAAGCTTGGGCTGACAAATGGCAAGTAACATTCGCACCACACAAATACCAGGCAATGACCATTTCCAAGAAGGGACAATCTAACCACTGCCTCTTGACATTCAATGGTGTTACCATCACTGAATCCCCCACTATTAACATCTTTGGAGTTGCCATTGACCAGAAATTCAACTAGGCTCGCTACATAAACATAGAGACTACAAGGGCAGATCAGAGGCTAGGAATACTGCATTGAATAAATCACCTCCTGACTCCCACAACATGTCCACCATCTACAAGGCACAAGTCAGGAGTGTGATGGAATACTCCCTGCTTGTCTGGATGGGTGCAGTTCAAACAACACTCAACAAGCTTGACACCATCCAAGACAAAGTAGCCCGCTTGACTGGCACCACATCGACAAGCATCCACTCTCCACCACCAGTACTTATTAGTAGTAGTACTATCCACAAGATACACTGCAGAAATTCACCAAGGATCCTTAGACAGCACCTTACAAACCCATAACCACTTCCACCTAGAAGGACAAGGGCAACAGATACATGGGAACACTAGCACTCGTAAGCTTCTCTCTAAGACATTCACCATCCTGACTTGGAAATATATTGCCATTTCTTCATTGTCATTGTGTCAAAATCCTGGAATTACCTCCCTAAGGGTACTGTTGGTCAACCTACAGCACATGGACTGCAGCGGGTCAAATAGGCAGCTCACCACCACCACCATCTCAACAGCAACCAGGGATGAGCAAGAGCAATAAATGCTGGCCACCCATATCCCATGTGTGAATAATAAAAAATATTCTGGTGGATCTGCTGTGCAATATATCCTTCATGACGTACAGTGTCCAGGACTAAATGACTCTAACAGATTAATCCACAACTTCTAACTTCTACTCCTTTGTATTCCATTCTCCTTGGTGTAAAGGCCAACATCCACTATCTTTCAAAATTAATTTTGTATCTATCCACTAGCTTTTAGCAATTTCTGTTCTCGGACCACTAAATCTCATAGCATCTCATAATTTACAAAATGATCTGATTTCTTTCATAGTTTCAAAGTGGATGATTTGATCAGCTCATGCTGACAGTTCAATAATTGTTCAGTTCTACACAAGTGAGAAGTCCTCAAATAAGACACAAGGCATTCTTACCAATACTGGCCTCTGCCAAGAGTAATTGTGAAGGCACTAGCTCAGCAGAGGTGTTGCCATAAACAGCATTTGCAAAGCGCAGAGACTGCAAGGCTCCAGGGATAGCTTCCTCATGTTTACCCTCAAAAAGAAGCTTCTGGGACACCGTGCGGGTCAAATTAATGAGATGTTTCTGTAAATCAGCAACAGCATTAGACAAATCTTAAACTTAAGTAATGATATTTTTGTTCAATAGAATTATGTTAGCACAGCAGGCAGTTAATTGAATTACTGACAAGCATCCAGGTACAAAACAGCCAATTTAAAACTTTTTTTGTGACACAGTGGATGAGGGTTTCAGAACATACAAACGTGGGCAGCACAGAGTTGGCTGAGGTCATGGAGGCTGAAGTAGGCAACCCTGATGAAGGAGTGGGTGCGTAGTCAGCAGCTCAGCTTAGGATCCACTTTGACTCCAAGTTTGCAAACAAGACCAAAGCAATACACTAAATTGATGTTCTAGTACCATACTAAAGAAATGCAAATTTTAAAATATTAGACATTAAACTGAGGCTTGTCCCTTACTTATTTGTATGTAAACTATCTGTGGCTGTATTTGAAGAACATGGGACAATCTGGTCAAAGCTATTAGAAACATTACCTAGTCTATCCATTACAGTCACTGTGGCACTTGCTAATTGACCATATATTATTATAACAATGATTGCATATCCTGAAATAGAACTGTTAATGTGGATCTCAGGTAGACACAGGATTTGACTTGGCTCAGGCTGTGCTTGCCTCACGGTCACTATCCTGGAAGCACTCACTGTTTAAGATCACATATGTGGAATAGTACCGAAGGGCTACTAGTTCTGTAGAAACTGTATTCACAGCATGATACAGTATCTCAAGTGCCTTCAGAAGAGGAAACTGGAGCAACAATAAATCACTGAATGAATATGAAAGCGGCTTAATACACCTGTCTCTGGATCATCTGCTCCTCATTGTGTTTTCTCTCTTTTGCAGAGCTAAGGAATGTCGGTGCTGTCCGTATTGGAATCAGGAGCTGGCAAATCTTCTCATGGATCCCATTCCAATCTGCCTCTTGGTGTGCTACATCACTGATAGAAGACAAATACAGACATATTCTTGGCAGATTATCCTTGAAAAAAACAAGTTACATTTGTTGACGTAGCCTAATAGAAACAAACATATTGTTGATCCAATGAAAGAACTTGCATATCACATCACTCAGAAATATCCCAATGCACATCCTATATATTAATCACTATTAGTTTGTAGATAATTGAAAGAGTGATTTTGTACATAGAAATGCCTGATAAAGAGCAGCAAGCTAAAGGACTGGTGAATATGGTTTTGGTTTTGGCTGAAAGTGGAATATTGGCCAAGTGAATTCTCTGCTTTTTTTTGAATGGTGCCAAAGTATCTTTTAGTATGCAGCAGAACAACTGAATCAAGCAGACAGAATCTGTGAAACACCTTAGATGGTACAGTATATCTTCTTTGAAATGGCAATCTAGATTAATCCCCAAGTCTTGCAATGAATTTGCAGCAGTCTGATTCAAAGACAAGAATAATATCAAACAAGCCCGCTGGCATTTAAATATATCCCGTTAATTCCACAAACAGTTCCTGATCTCAAAGTTGCTATCGTTTTTAAGCAATGAACAGAGACCTGGTGATCCGACTTCGAAGGAGGAGAAACTAGACAAAGAATTACTCCTGTAGGTTTGGAAGTCACAGATTGCCCAAAAAGGGGGTTGAACTCAGTGATTTCAAAGTATTTATTAAGCACTTTATTGAAAAGCAACATTTCAAAAAATATTAGCTAATTAAAGCAATGTAGATAGGAAAAGCATAAGATCCATGACAGCTAAGAATAGTTTGACAGTCCAGGAGGGTGAAGGCATTGATGGTGCAGTGTGAGTATTGATTTCTATAGCTTGTCAGCTGCTTTCTGCCCAAAAGATGTGATGCAGCAGACGGGCCTGCAACAACTGATTAATGCCAAATTCCAGGCCGAATGACATGCTTATACGTTTCTATTATACTGATAATTGTAATGCACTGTTTCTGGGAGGCTGGAGTTCCCTGGTGTGCCAAGGCATTTTTTGCTTCATTTCAATGTTCTTGTGTTCTGTTGACAGCATTACATTTTACATATTCATGTTTGATTTGATTTATTACTGTCACGTGTACCGAGGTACAGTGAAAAGTGTTGTCTTACATGCTTTACAGGCAGATCGTACTATACAAGTGCATCAGGGTAACAGAACAAAGTGCAGGATACAATGTTGCAGCTACTGAGAAGGTACAGAGAGAGATCAACATTAACATTAAAGAGGTCCATTCAAAAGCCTAATAAGAGCAGGGAAGAAGCTTGAATCTGTTTATATGTGTATACAAATTTTTATATTCTCTACCCGATGGAAGAGGTTGGAAGAGACCATAACTGGGGTGGGAGAGACCTTTGATTATGTTTGTTGCTCTCCTGATGCAATGGGAAGTATGGATGAAGTCAGTGGTTGAGAGCTGGTTTGCATGATGGACTGGGCTGTGTTCACCACTCTCTGTAATTTCTTTTGCTCTTGGGAACCATGCAGTTAAGCATCCAGATAGGATGCTTTCTATAGTGCATCTATAAAAATTTGACAGGATCTATATGGACATGCCAAATTTCCTTTGCTTTCTGAGGTGATTAAAGGTATTGCTGTGCTTTCTTGACCGCAGAATCAACGTGGGTGGACAGGACAGGCTGCTGGTGATCTTCACTCCCAGGAACTTGACACTATCGACCACTCCACCTCAGCATCCATTGATGGAGAGATAGGTGTGTGCTCCACTCCACTTCCTGAATTCAATGACCAGCTTCTTTATTTTGCTGATGTTGACGGAGAGATGTTGTCTTTACAACATGTGGGGCCAGGGAGATGGCCACTACCGTGGACCTATTGCACCAATAAATGAATTGCAAGGGATCAAGGCAGTCTGAGAGGCGGGAGTTGATGTGAGCCATGACCAACCTCTTGAAGCACTTCATTTTCATGGATGTCAGAGCCACCGGGCAGTAGTCATTGAGGCATGCTGCATGATTTTCCTTTGGCACTGGGATGATGATGGTTTCTTGAAGCAGGTGGACTTCAAATCGTAGTAAGGAGAGGTTGAAGATGTCTGAGAATACTCCCACCAAGTGGTCCGCACAGGATCTGAGTGCACGGCTGGGGAATCAATCAGGCGTGGTTGCTTTCCATGGATTCACCCTTAAGGAGGCCGTTCTAGCATATGCGGTGGTGACCAAGGGTACAGGTGCATCTGAGGCTGTTGGGATAGGTGACATTGTTTCACTGCCCCTCTGTTCAAAGTGAGAGTTGAATGCATTAAGCTCATTGGGTAGAGACGTATTGTTGTCTATGATTCTGGTTGACTTCGCTTTGTAGCCAGTTATGACATATAAGTCTTGCCACAAATGATGGATCTGGGTCTCAGGCTTAGTTAGGTATTGCCTCTTGGCGTCCCTGATGGCCTTGTGAATGTCGTACCTGATTTCCGTATAGGTTAGGGTTGCCTGTCTAGAATGCCTCAGACCTGGACTTCAGTAGGACGTGGATCTCCCGGTTCATCCATGGTTTCCGTTTGAGAAACATTTGGATTAATTTCTTTGGCACAAAGTCATCTACATACTTACTAATGAAGTCTGTAATTGTAGTGACATACTTGGTTAGGTTGGCCACTGAGTTATTGAATATGGACCAGTCCACCGATTCTAAGCAGTTCAGTAAAAGCCCTTCTGTTTCCTCAGACCAGTGCTGCACTACTTTCTGTATTGGGTCCTCTTGCTTCATTTTTCAGCTTGTAAGTGGAGGAGCACAGTGTTATAGTTTGATTTTCCAAAATGTGGGCAGGAGATGGAGCAGTAGGCATCTTTTATGGTTGTGTAGCAGTGGTGAAGGATGTTAAGACCACTAGTGGGACAGGAAACATGTTGATAGAATTTTGGTAGTGCATTTTTGATGGCCCAATTGAAATCACTGGCTACGATGAACAAGGCTTTCATCTCAAGACTGTTTATAGCACTGTATACTTCATCAAGTACACTCTTCACTTTTGCATTGGGTAGGATGTAGACCACTGTCAGGATAGTGGCGGTGCACTCATGTGGTGGGTAGTATGGACGGCATTTCACTATTAAATATACCAGGTCTGGGGAGCAGTGACTGTGATATTTTCTTCCTGTGTATGGATCAATCTTGAGAGGAAACACGTTCCATTTGAGCAACATGTGCAGCCTAGAAAACACTGCAATGCCAGTATGTGCAGACACAACTATACTACTACCTACCACTAGGGTGGAGATACCATTACGGAAAATAATTAAAGGAATTAGTTGCAGGACGGATGGACATGGATTTTGAAGGCAACAGCACACTTTTAAAAAAAGTTAAAGTAGAAGGCAAAAATTTGAAGAGCAGATTGCAAGGTGAGAGAGGGAGGGTTTTTGGGGAGATATATGATGGTGGTCTTCTTCTTTACTCACCAGTAATAAGTCACCCTGCACTGAGAGCACATAACATGAGCGATCTTCTGGCACATCTCACACTCTAATTTAACACCTTTGGGGTTAGAAAGCGGATAAACAGGAGAACTCAGCATCTCAGTGTGCAGGAAGGTTGGTTATTGCTCGAAAATCTCTCTCAGCCTCCGATGTGCTGTGGTTGCTAGGGACTTCGAGCCCGTTGTTAAGGACTCCGACTTCTGAACCCGGGAGCACTTCTAAAGAACTTCCCCCACCCCCGCTCCCCAAACCAGCTGATCAGTGCGCAAAATGAAACTAAACGCAAATGAACAGGGCAATAAAACCTATATGTGAATTCGCGCATTTCGTTTTAAGGTTGAAATAGGTGGCCATCCCGAGTTGTGTGGGCTGAGAGTAGTCGTTGTTGTTGCGGGGCGGGGGGGACCGGTTAGTGTGGGGACGGTGTTCACCCGAACGCTTACTGAGCTGGGACCAGTTGTCATGGCGGCGGCGCTGTACGAGACGGAGTGGAGCGACTTTTTCTCGGATTGCGTCCCGCCGCCTCATGCGGACAGCTCGGCCGAGGCGATGGCCGAGTTCGCGGTGCGGCACGCCGCGCAGGGCCGCAGGGTGGTGCTGGTGACCTCGGGGGGCACCAAGGTGCCGCTGGAGTCGCGGACCGTCCGCTTCCTCGACAACTTCAGCAGCGGCTGGCGCGGCGCTGTCTCGGTCGAGTATTTCCTCGGCCTGGGCTACGCCGTGGTTTTCCTGCACCGCCACCGCTCCCTGTACCCCTTCTCCCGGCGGTACGCCGGCCTCAACATGCTCGATGCGCTGACAGCCGTGCTGGACAAGAAGACCACCTGCTGGCGGGTGGAAGCTAACCAGGCGATGCTGCCCGACATTGTACCGGTGCTGCAGCGCTATGTGGCAGTGCGAGAGGCCGGCCTGCTCCTTCCCGTAGAATTCAGCACCTTATCCGACTACCTGTACCTGCTAAGGGCGGCGGCTCAGGCTCTCAACTCCATCGGTAGGGAAATCAGATGATGAGAGTTCAGTGGTTAATCTGTAGGTAAAGACTGGCTCTACACTTGGCAGAGATGAAACACTTTTTTTAAATTACATTTTGCCTGCTCTATCGATCATAAAGTGGCATTTTTGTGTCGTTTTCCTTATTTCCTGAAGTGTCAGGGGACAGCCTCCAACAATGAGTTCTTCCATTAACAGTTTATGAAATTGCTTCATTTGCCGCAGGACAGCCATGTTCGGTTAACTATATATTGTACGATTCTTTAAAGGAGCTTTGCTGAGAAAAATGTTTTTCCCAGGTGGAATCACAAAGCTTCTGCTTAAAAGCTCAGTTAGTATCTCGTTTTTATGCAGAGGGTCGTGAATCCATGGAATTATATACCGCAGAAATGTTCAGAGGGTGAATATTTTCAAATAGAAGGTGATCGATTTTGGGGTTCTGTGGGAAGGTAGAAGATCAGCCACAATCACATTGAATGGTGAAGTGGGCTCGAAATACCAAATGGCTCATGCTCCTATTTCATATGTTCACATTCTGTAAGTCAGAGAACTGGAGAATGATCTGGAGACAATCTTCAATCCTACTAGGTTAATCTATTTCAGCCTTGACTACATACCAGAACTCTGTGCTTACAGTTCTGTGGCAAGGAGTTCCAAAGAGACTCAACGCTCAGAAGAAATTCCTCATCTCAATTTCAAATTTGTTCCACGTTATTCTGAGAATGTGAGCTCTGGTTTGAGACTCTCCCATAAAGGGGAAAAACATCCTCTCAGCAACTACTCTGTCGAGCCCCTGAAGAATCATGTGTGTTTCACGGAGATCACCTCTCTTCTTCTAAACTCCACGGAGTAGAGTTCGAACCTATTTAGCCACTGTTTGTAAGACAATCCCGCCGTAGCAGGGATCATCCTAATGAACCTTCTCTGAACTGCTTCCAACGAAATGATATCTTTCCTTACTTATCAGGGCCAAAATTGCACACACTACTCCAGCTGTGGTCTCACCACCTCCTTGTATCGTTGCAATAAGACTTCTATTAACCTATTTTTCCAATTCAGAGATGTTATTACACACCTCTGGAGCAGATGGGACTTGAACCCAGGTCTCTCAGTCTAGGGTAGGGACACTACTACTGCACCACAAGAGTCCCTTCTCTACTCTTATACTCCAACCCCCTTGAAATAAGGACCAACATTTCAGTAGTCTTCCTGATACCTGCTATTCATGCACAGGTACCCCCAAGTCCCTTTGTGATGCAGCTTACTCTTCATTTAAATGACAGCTGTTTTATTCTCCCTTCCAAAATGAACAGCTTCACATTATACACAATTTGCCAACTTCTTGCACAACTACTTAACCTATTACTATCTCTGTAAACTGTTTGTCTCCATCTTGCGACTTGCCTATCCACCTACTAATTGACTATAAAATCTAAAATAATATTGGAAATGGTAACTGTGAAACTGCCAGATTGATGTAAAATCCAGAGAATGTTGGCGAAAATCAGGTCAGGCAACATCTAAAGAGAGAAAAACAGTCAATATTGAGCTGGTTATGCTCCTTCAGAATGGACATTATAGGAGACTCAAATGTTAACTCAGTTTCTCTTTCCACAGATGCTGCCAGACCTTTATTTCTCCAGTATTTTGTGTTTGTTTCAGATTTCCAGTATCTGCAGTATTTTGCTTTTATATGTTTAAAAACCCATCTGGTTTACTAATGTCCCTTAAAAGGAAGTATGCGATTCTTCCTCAAATGTTAACAGCAAAATAACAAATTGCAATGACGAAAATTATGAATTTTTTTTTTAAATTCAGCAACTGGGCAGGAGTGCACTATATTGTGGAGCAAGAATGAACAACTGAGTTCATCATCTCTTCCTTGCTTTTGTTCAGTGTATCTCCTAATGAAGAGGATCCTGTATGCCTTAAGCACTTTCTCAACCTAACCCACCACCTTCAATATTTCATGCACGTACATCCAGACATCCCTCTGCTCCTGCATCTCCTTTAAAGTGTATCCTTTATTTTGTACTGCCTTCTTATTTTTCCTGCCAAAATGAAATTAGTTCACATTTCTCTGCTTTCTACTCTGTAACCTGGAGCACACCCCAAATTCAACGATCTGTATTCTAAGTTACATGAAATCCTGTTCACCCATCACCCCTGAACTTGCTGACTACAATGGCTTCTAGTTCAGCAGTACCTCAGTTTTAAAACTTGTCTCATCCTTATTTTCTAATTCCTGTATCTCTTGGCTCTGCTGATCTCAGTAGCTTCCACCAATCCCACAACTATTTGAAATATTTGCGTATCACCAATTCTGGGATTCCATATTTTAATTACTTCATTATTGGCTGCCGTGCTTTCAGCAAATAGCAATGAAACAAAGTCCATATTCATTATTGGTAAGGAGATAAATATTGGCCAGGACATTCTGCTGACCACACCAGCTCTTCTAAGTGCTAGGGCATAGGATTTTTTGCATCCCTGAAGGGTCAGACAGGACCACAGTTTAATATTGCACCCGAAAGATACACCTTAAGCAGTGCAGAACTCCCTCAGTACTAGAGAACTGTCTTGGGGCAATTTATAATGGACAATGGTACATCAAAAAAAAAGCCTGGTCAAAACTAAAGGATGTTAGGCTGAAAGCTATTTTCTCTATTTAGATTTCCAGCTGGAGGATTATTTAAACTAGGAAATTAACTTTCATTTTTTTTTTACTAAAACTGGAAATACAACTTGCTCTTGCATTAAATTTGCACAAAAGCTTTCCATTATCTATAGCACACGAGTCAGGAATGTGATTGCTCTCTGTTTGTTCTTTTATTGGGGTAGTCACTTCATTCCAGTTATAAATGTAATTTTTTTTGTTAGATTTTGGTGTCCACAAAGACCAAGTATCCAGAATTTAGGTAGATAGACCAAGCTGGAAGAGCAGTGAGCAGAGAACAAGTGCTCAAACCAATTATGTAATTTCGTTCCATTTAATAAAGTATAACGCCTACAAGTCATAGTACGTAATGAATGTGAAAATCTAAGCACACGAAGTACCCTTTCATATTTAGACAACATTCCATTATGAATCAGGTGATTTGTAACTCTTTTGTTCTGCAGGACCAAAAGCCATGTTCTACCTTGCAGCAGCTGTGTCTGATTTTTTCATTCCTGCCTCTGAGATGCCAGAACATAAAATTCAGTCAGGTGCTAGCCCTCTGCAGGTAAGGAAGAGCTGTACTATACCTGGAAAGCAATGCTTGTTGGACCACCAATCATAATCCTCTGAGTAAAATTAACAGCTTGGGTTAAATTTGCATAATTTTTTATTTCCAGTTGAAACTGTTTCTTAAGATATGGGAGAACCTTTAAAACAAGGATTCTCTCAAAGTCTTGCAAACGTATATGATGTAAGCTTTGTTTTTTTTTCTAAAAAGAACTTTTTTTTTTAAAGCTAACTATGCAAATGGTTCCCAAGATGCTTACCCCTCTCGTGAAAGACTGGGCTCCTCAGGCATTTGTCACATCCTTCAAGTTGGAGACTGATCCTTCACAGCTGGTTGTACGAGCACGTAAAGCTTTAGAAACTTATAGACATCAGGTTGTAGTTGCCAATGCTCTTGAAACACGGAGGGTGTTTGTTGTCATAGTAACTGCTGATTCTCAAACTGACCTGGCGCTTTCAGAGAACGAACTGAAGCAACACCATGAAATCGAAGAGAAGATTGTGAAACACTTGAGTGAATGCCACACTAATTTTATAGAGAAAAGCAACAATCCTAAATAGATGTTTTTCATGACGCAGCTGAGTTACTGAGGAATAATTGTATGGAAATTGAATGAGAGTTGTTAAAATGCTACTTTTTTTAAAAAAAATGAAAACTTGCATATGTGAATAAAGCCAGCTGGGAGATCTGGCATTATACTCAATAAAAGTTTTCAAAACCAAGTAATAATGTGTAGTTTGAGCTAAAGTTAAAACTTAGCTTCTGACTGCACTAGGATTTCCTCCTCAAAACCATCATGGACTGATAAAATGGCACTGCAGAGTCTGTGCGCTATTTTAGGCCTCAAATGGAAAATACAGAAAAGTTCTGTATCTATCAGGCATGTAACTGCATCAAATTTAGTGACAAAGAGTTGGCATTATTGGTGTGATTACTATTTATTCTGTATCTTTTGAATTAGTTTCTGGTGCAGTGGTTGGGACCTTTACTGCAGCTGGATTATTGGAATAGGGCAAAACTGTTTTTACCAATTTAGTTAGTAGATTTACTGGATGTTATAAGCTGTGAACTAACGAACAGAATTTTGTAGCAGAAATCTTGAGATACAGTTCTTGCAAATATGACCAAAAATAAAGCTGTAGGCATCTCTTGATCCTGAACTGAAATAAAATACAATATATATTAATAAACTTATGCCATTTGTGATTTTCCTCCTTTGGCAATGACTGCTACTCCATATCAGTACATTTAGATGGATGAGAGATGTAATGTTAATTTAATTAGTAGGATGGAATATTCAACACTTTTCCTTCTCATCTCCTGTAGGTGCTGATTCTTAGTAGAAAACAACCAGTTCCATTCTGAGAATCTATAGTGAATTTTGATGACCAAATCCAACCTTTTACTTGTCCAAAGTGCATACACCTTTCATTCAAGGAGAACACATACTGTGACTGCTGCCCAGAATAAGAAAGGAAATTTAAGTCAGGAATTGATTTTTCAACCTTCCGGACTGTACATCTTCATCACTGGCCAGTGATTGGGCTTGTGATTTTTGTCTTAGTATTAGAGCTCACTGAACCAACAGGAAATCATCATAGAGGAACACCACAAGCACTCAAAATATGTAAGTTTAGATGAAACCAATGAAAATAGGACACCAACATTAATTACTTAGTAATATAGCGAATGGAAAGAGTTTAATATTTTTAAAGAAATTGATTTACTTATAGCTTCAGGGTACATTTTTAGAAAAATCTGTTCAGCAAAATAAATTGTTTACTGATCAGAATGTTGCTTATGTTATATAGAATAATTCTGTAAACATGGTCTATTTAATTTCTGTAGTCAATGCAAGTACACAGTTCAGTGACACAGACAATGATTCCCAATTTAGATGCATCCCTGCAGTCAGGATGCCAGATGAGAAGTGTAGCAACACTACTTGACTGGGTTCCAGCTGCTTTCATGCCATTGAAGAACTCCCATTAGAAAGTGTATTGATGATACAATTAGGCTCAGCTGTCATTGCATCTACTGAAACATTGTAGTTTAACTGAGTAACCTCATGAGCTCCTCTGTAAAAAGGTGAGAGCATCATTTCAGCCCCTCAAATATTTCTGCGTTCTGTTCATTCTTACATTATCTGTCAAGAACAAAAAAGCTTTAATATTAATCAGGGCAACATTTTTAGTTTTACAGCCACTCATAGTACAGCACTGATACTTGATCAAAACTGCCATCAACAATATCAGCAGTCGGGTATCTGAAGTTATGACTCATTGTAAAGAACGGTAAACAGCAGTTTCCTGGCATCATCTTCAGCTATTGGGAAATGTAGTAATGCCTTTGTGGCAATTTTCTTGGGAAAGCTCACTCTGGCATTGTACATTTATAAATCAATGACATATTCATACTTTAGATACAATATGTACTCTTACAACAGGATGGAGGAGACTACTGCTCAGTGCAGCAACATTTTGAAGCAGAAAATGATGAAAGGCCTGGAAATTGCTCTGCTGTTAAGTGTTGGTGGAAAACAAACACAAAACTTCATCTATTTTGATGAAGGTCCAATTTAACAAATGTCTCCATTAAAACAACACTTGTGTACCATTCTTCAATTTGGTAAGATTCCTACATTAATTTCTAGGCTGCAGTTCCTGATGAGTAATTATATTTGGAGTTTAAGAGGATTGTATGCTATCCATAATGCGGGTGTAAACATAATAACTGTAATCACAAAATCCATGGAGTTCACTGGTCAGTAAATGTGCTTTACTAATACATAAGCACAGTAAAAATACACAATTTATTAAACTCTATAAATACATTACAAAGAGACAGAGCAGCCGTTTCCCTGACTTTCAATTTGCAGATGTTTGCAGGAAGCAACAAAGTTACTGAAGCTTGGTGCTCTTCTTAACACCGACACGGATACCAGACAGCTCACCACCATATCGATGCACTTCTGTACGGACTTCACGTACCTGCAAAATTAAGATCCCTCGTTGATGGATGTAAACAAACTGCAGCATTAAGTTTAAGGGAGAGATCTCAACAAAAAATATACTTGGATTCACGTGCTGTTAAATTTTAGGGGAAATTAGAAAGAATAGGCTATTTTAAAAATAATAATGAACTTGTGCATGATACACTAGGATGTAGTTAATTCCAAATATGGATTCAGTATAAATATGCATTCTGGTCATGTAACATGTCAATATGCTTAGATATAGATGGCTATGGGTCAAGTCTGGAAAATGGGATTCGAATAGTTCGATATTTTTTTGACTGGTGCAGACTTAATGGGCTGAAGGGCCTTTTTCTGTGCTGTATACCTCTATAATTCTATGACTCCTAAGCAATTAAAATATGTTTCATTCAAAGCAGCATTATTAGAGGGAATGCTCTTTTCTCTTGGTGCAGACTCTCCCAGACGAATACTGGACCATAATTAGTTATGGCACTTGCTGTTATTTATATACATCAAATGAAAATGCACTTCAGAAGAGTTGCAGATCCATGATTAAATATGACCACCCAAAGTTGCAATCTGAGCTACACCAGTAATTTTGCAACTTGCTGAATTTGCCCATTAATCTCACCATGGACAATTGTCTCACTGAGTTTATCAAATGTATCAACTGTGTGACAAGTGTTAAAGATTGCTAACTGATCTTCCTGGCATTAAAAATTAAGTGGATTGCCCCATTGCCTTAGGTTTTTTGGTTGGGATGATTTTTAAAAATGTCAGATTTTGAAATCATTTTATTCTTTGTAATTTTTTTTCCAAAATCTAATCTCTCTCTCTCTCTCCCTGATTTGATACAGAATTCAATCCTTTATTGTGCCTTGCTTCTGAGCTCTTCCATTGTTTGCTTCCCAATTTTTAAATCTCATATTTGAGGTGCTTTGTTCAATCAGGTCCCATTTGGCCAGGTTCACTCACTGCTGTTATTTCCTTGCACTGTCAGCAAACTTGCAGGCAAACATTTTTACTGAATAATGCAGGAAAAAAAGAACAACACTCCCCTTTAGACAACCATGTTACAGTAAATTTCATCCTAATTTGTGTTCTATTAAACTATGGACTTCTGTTCCATGCGCTTTGCTAGTGATCTCAATCCTTCAATTACCAATCTGTCTTCCCCACCTCCAAAAAGCTAATATCGTAACTACAACACAGAACATAACAGCACTTCAATTCAACACTTTGCTACTTCACATACCAATCTAGAAACCGAAGTTGTTTCCCAAGAAAATCTCTACAAAGGCCAGGGGAATCATTTTCAATTTTATTCAAGTTAAGAAAGTCTCACACGTTCTCTTCTGCCAGTAAACAATAGCTGAGGCACTCCCACAACCCGACTTAAATTACTTTAAGATGTTAACAAGCCTCATAATTTAAATGAAGACAATTGTCAACTCCTTAAATCTACTGGGGGGACTCCTTTGCTTACCTGGCCTTTCCTTCGTATTTTAGCACGTCTGAATTTCTCTCGGTGTTTGACTCGGGGATTACGGTCAATCTTCTTCCTTTTGGGTGTGAGACCTTTATTCTTAGCAATCTGCAGAAGATCGTACATAGTTTGATCAGCATCCAGAGACAATTTTAACAGATGTGCTTACAAGAAACATAGCTGTAACCAATTGTGAACTGAAAGGTTCAGTGGCACATTGCTGTACTAAAAATTCTGGAGAAACACAGGAGGTCAGGCAGCATCATGGAAAGAAAAAAAGTGAGGTTTGAAGATTTGGACACATTGGACTCGAATCATTAACTCAGTTTCTCTCTCCAGATATGATGGTAGACCTGCTGAGATTCTTCTGCATTTTTTGTTCTCAATACCACAGTTTTCTATGCCAAAGTCTGATTAGATTGCCTGCTCTGTAGTGCATAAAAATGGTGTATATCATTTCAAAATCTTGAAATAGAACAGATGTGTGGTTTCAGTTTTGTGAAGATAACCTTTTTAAAATTAAAAGGTCAGTTGGAATAGTGAACTGAAGGCAGGAGGCATCTGTTTCAGTGTCTAGCCTAAAGCCTGTAGTATAAAGGATGAAATCTTTATACTGTTGAGTTTATAACAGAGGAAAACAGATCAGAGGCAAGTTTAGTTCAGAAGAATCACAAGCTGTTCTGTCAGAACAGTTTAGTTGTGAAGCTTCAAAGCTGAGTTTATATAGAGGTTTTGAATTGTCTGAATGGAAAAGAGGTTGAGGCCCTCGGAATTGAAAACAGCAGACTTCGAGAGAAAACATAAAACGCTCTCAGCAGTCCAGGAAGGATAACTGAAGAGTTGGCTAAGTATTAAAGAGTTGAGATAGAAATGATATTTCTCTGGATTTGAATAACTGCAAGGATATTGCTGGGAAATTAATAGCAACATAGCATTTAAACCCATGTTAAGATCCTTCAAAACTCTTATTGTTTGCTTTTTCTTCTGTGCAATACTCATGTTAATTTGTTCAAGAACATTTGTAGCCTTTGTCAATGTTTCAGTAACTAAACCTCCACACTAACCACCTGCAAAAATTAAAAATCTATGATCTATCATGTCAAATTTCATTCTGGAATTGACTTTTCTGGTAGGGTTGTCAGCTGGGATCCTAACATAAAGTTTAGATTCTTCATAAGGAAAGCTCCCATCCAACCAGGCAGTTGGTAAACAAAGGACATTCTTCAGACAGAAAAACAAAAAGAGGAAACAAAATCACTCTTGCAGTGCCATTTACTAAGTAACATGATATGTTAAACAGCAAAAACATTGAGCTGCATATTGACTACTCAAATGACATTTAGGATTGTGAATGTCTTTTTTAAAATCAAATAACAACTCAAATATAAACTTGAAGAAACAGCTTAAGTTTCAAGTACTACTAAATATCATAGCTTCAGGCAATACAGAAAAAAAAAGGTTAAAAACATAGCCCTAAAGCAGATAAACAGATTGTTAACATGGAGCTAGAAACCTGGTATGTGATCTTTCTCTTTCCATCTGGACCAAGTACTTCCTTTACCACAGGACTGTCCTCATTGCTGAAATACAAAACCCAATGTTACTGCATTTGAATACAATCAACATTTCATCTATTGTCATCAATACTGAAGGTGCATGTGGTAGGGGAGATGGGAGAAGGTGGAGAAAATGTGTGATGGGGGACATTCCAACTGTCAGGGATCGAGTCAGGATTAGAAGAATCTAGCGTAAACACATTATTTCTCAAATGAACTCTTTCCCTACTTTACAATAAAGTTCTGCATGGTAGGTTTTCTGAGCAGCTGCTTTTCATGTTTGAGATCAGGTATTCAATCACAGCAAATTATTCGATAGAGAAGTGCAGAACAATGTCACAGTTGAGCCAATTCCTATGTTCAAAAAATTCTCACTGGGAATATTTTCTGCAAAGTGGCAAGGAAATGAAACATTGATGAGCCAAAAATTTCTATTTAGAGGGGAGTTAAACCTTGTCATGGTAAACAGGTAACCAGTTTTGGGCAGTTTCACATTCTGTTTACTTAAACTGATTACTTATACAGAGCAAATGCTGTTTTTGCCTCCTCACTGTTCCAACAACACTAAGTTGAGTTGTTGTATCCCTACTGCATCCTTGCTGGGAAATCAAACCAGAAATATATAAGCATTACTACATCGAAGTGAGCAATTCAGCTCATTTTGATTTTTTTTAATCTTAAGATCACTCATGTGTATACCCACCCTGTTGCTATCCTTACTTACTCTTCTATCAACCACCTATTTACCAATTCTTAAATGTAGACATGGTCCGCTTAAGTCGCAAAGTCCAACTGTGTAATCCAGAATCACTAACTGGAAATGAGAAAAGTAGATTCCCTCATTTCACGTTTGATATCTCTCTCATTTAAGAGTCTAGAACAAAGATCAACAGCCTGAATGCCTCTTCAAAAGAAAAAAATGCAAATGATAAAAAAGCCGAGGAGTCACAAGTAGAATATTCAAAATTGCTAAATCAAATATTTGGCAAATTACCAAGTGCAGAATGTATTACTTGCATAAATAAATTCAGCACTTGTATTTTCTGTTATGTCAAAAAGACATAAATCAGAACTTACCTACTTACAAAATTATGTAGTTATCTTTAAAACAAAACTTATGATGCAAAAATGAAGACAATTTCTTTTACCACTTTTTCTCGTAATTTAACAGCTTCTAATTGAGAACAATTTAACCCAGCTATAAGGTACAATAATGATCACAACTGTAAAAGTTATTCCTCAAACCAAAGGCCATATACATAACACCCATAATGTAGCTTTGTCACAAACTCATTCATTTAGAGTACAACATGCTTTTTGTTAAAATAATTATTTGGAACAATGAAGTACAATATAACAATAATTAGCTTTTCATTTCCACAATAAAAACACAATTCAGTCTTTTCTTGATTTAATTTTTTCTCAGCCTTTTTTGTGTTCATGTGGTCCGACCGGAAAGGAGTGGGAATCACAAATGAGATGCTAAACAGCTGTAGTTGGTTCCAGAGCCACAGGTTGTTGATTCTTGGATTAGAACCAGCAATCATATAAAACACTTTCTATCTACGCTATCCCACTCCATCATACTTTAAACACGTCCATCAAACACGTCCACCACTGAATCTCGTTTCTTCTGACAAAATTAGCCTGAATTTCACAAAATCTTTTCCTATTTGTATTTCATCATATCCGGCAACATTCCAACAAATCTGAACTGTCCCTCTCCAATACCTCAATGTGGTTCCTATAGTAAAAATAAATTTACCATCAAAATATAAACTAAACCCTTGATAACTCTTGCCATGGTGACCAATATTCCATTCATGAAGGCATTTCCATTTGAGATGCTGTGTTTAAAGTTTTGTGAATCTGAACCCTCAAATTATTCTTGTTCATTCAAATCAGGCATTTTTCCCTCATTCAGAATGTAGCTCAAACTTTCTGGCTTCCAGATCATTGGAGACCAAATGCATTATTGAGATGCTTGTTGGAAGTTCTGATATACTGACCTGTGGAAATTGTGCAGGAAGTTTAAAATATTTTCTGCAATATCTCTGACTCAGTTAGAGGTGGAAACTTCAGGTAGTGTACATGTACTTATCATTGGGAGGGCTGGTTAGCTCAGTTGGCTGGACAGCTGGTTTGTGATGCAGAGTGACACCAACAGCGCAGGTTTAATTCTCATACCAGCTGAGGTCACCGTGAAGGTCCCACCTTCTCAGTGCTGCCTGAGACATTGTGACCCTGAGGTTAACTCACCACCAGTCAACCCTCTCTACGAGAGAGCAGCCCTGTGGCCCTCTGGGACTACATCAGCTTTACTTATCACCTGGATTCCTATCGAAGGAATGCTGGACAAATTAAGTATGCAACTGACCTCCCAAATCATTCACAGTAAGCCCTGTTTTCTGCACTGCTTCTCAATCCCTCAACCCAAGTGCCACTCACGCACTCACTCATTCAAACTGAACCTTTACACTTATCAGAAGGCAGCTGGTGCTGTAAAGATAAAAGGGCTATGCCCTATCTACCCTTGACTCTACTCCACTTCAACAGAGCTCTTATGGGGGCACTGCACTCCACACTTCTGATAAAGCCAGACTCAAAAGGTCTCAGAAGAAGTGGGACAGTATCATCTTGAAGGAATGAGAGTAGGACGATAATCAGATGATGATTGTGGCTCCTCCGGTCATCCAGAGCCATGTACTACTTCATGTCCAACACTGAATTCCATCTCCCACTATTTTGGCCATTCCCTTATCTCATCAAGATCACTTTGGTCCTGAGAATTAGTACACATCCCATTTTAGTACTGTGCACAAATTGTGATACAACTGTTTAGGCCGGAACGCTGGAAGACACAGCAACCTATTTCCAATCGTCTTGAGAAAATGCCCGTTGTTACTTCATTCAGTTCCCACCGTATAAATCAGTTTTTAAAAAAATATTGTTACACTCCCTGTAATTTCTATTCTCTAATAATACAGTAACTTATCAATACTTTCTGAAAGCCCATTTACATCTCTGGCTCCACTATGTCATACCTTCCCATCTTGGAGGCAGCACTCTCTCTTTTTAAGATGTGAGACAATGCTTTTTTCATGACATTTATTCCCAGTAAGTTAATCGTTTAAATGCTGTGCAGTGCATATCCCAACAGCCATTATCCTGATTAAGGGACACAATCTAGGACATGTTTTACACCATATTCATATGCAAGCACATTCCATGTATAAATGATCAGCACCTGTCATGTTGAGCTCTCTTTCTCTTTTGAGTCAGCCTCTCCTCCATATCTTTATAATATTGGAACGCTGCTTCTTCATCTGTATCTGACTCGGAGTCCCCAGAAATTGTGTGATCAGTGACCTAGATTAAAACACAGATCTTGTAAACTCAAGAATGTGTGGAAAAGCAGAAAATACAGAGGGCAAAATTTCTCTACTCATAGCAATGATTAAAAGATAGATTGAAAAGATTCAGTCTGTCAGAGCTCACCATAAAACTGGAGTTTCAGTTTTAATACTAAACAGGTGTGAAAACAGCGATCACAATTTGGGATACAGCTCAGGGTCCTGTCACGTTCAAATTTTGAAAACTTTACACAATTAACAATAACCGCTCATCCTTCAAAATCTGGATTCTGTCCTTGCTAGTGTGCAATGAAAGCCTTATCTATCTTACCTTTTCTTCTGTTCTTTGTCCAGCTTTAGACTGCTTGCTCAATCGAATTGGAACTTTTTTAACCTCAGAGATTAGTTTATCTTTTTCCGTGATTGACCCAGCATCCAGACTATTCTGGCTCAAAAGCTGCTGGATTTCAGACGACAGCTTCTCATCCAATCCAACTAGATCATTGATCAGCTGCAATGACAAGCCAGTTGTCAAACGCAGGAACACAGAAGAGAAAAATCAGCATGACTTGCTTTTAAATCCAAGCATCATTTACCAGAGTTAAAAGCAAAATACACGACTACTGGAAATCTGAAACAAAAATAGAAACTGTTGAGAAACTCAACAAGTTGGGCAGCAGCTATGAAGAGGTGAACAGAATTAACATCAAGGCCACCAGAAACCATTCAGTTCTGAGGAAGAGTCATATAAGACACAAATTGTATAATTCATCAAGATGGTGGCAGAGTAGGCTGAAGCCAAGGCCTGTCCACTCCCACTGGCTTTCTTTCTCCTTTCTCTTTTGTTTGGCTTTCTTTCTTTTCTTGGTCCTTGGTTTTCTCTTCTTTTGGGTCTGGAGAGTGGCAGGTGAGGGAGGAGGCCCCTGGTGGCGGCAGAAACACTGGGACGAGCCGGACGCAGCTCCACCCCAGTCCGCCGAGTAAGAAGTAGGTCCCAGGCTGACTCCCCCCGTCCGGACTCGCAGGCACTGGGCCTTGGCAGCTGAAGGAGAAGAGGTGGTGATCTTGGCACAGCGTGGTGGTCTCCCTGTACAGCAGTCTTGTTCTGGCGTGGTGGTCTTGTCCCCACGTGGAGGTCTTTTTTATCTTCAGCCTCCAGGTGTTCCAGCGGCCCGGCAGACAGTCATGTCCAGGAATGGTGGTCTTAGCACAGCATGGTGGTCTTCTTTAGCAGAGGCTTCCAGCCCAGTATTCCAGCGGCCGGTGTGGTGGTCTTGTCCCATAATGGCAGTCTCATTCTGGCTGGGTCTTCAGGTTATTCCATCAATCTTTAATCGGCTTTCCGAGCCCAGGAGCCATTAAGTGAACTGTGATGAACTTTGTCTTAATTTTACTTGTTTTTAAAAATTATCATGGATGATTTCTGGCATTGATATAGGCACCACGGTGGGGCAACTTATAAAACTTTTCACTGTATTTTTCGTGTCAAAGTGACCATAAATTTCTATTCTATTCTAAATCAGTTTCCTTCTTCATTGATGCTGTCTGACCTCCTGTGTTTCTCCAGCATCTTGTCCTTATTATTGTTAAACTGGGAACCAGT